TCAAGCTGCCAGATTATCACTCGATCTAAACACCGAGTCATGAGACACCCAATTTTCGTTGAACAATGCACAGCACTGTACAAAGCGTTTCGTCGTAACGTGGTGAAATCTCAAAATCTCGTCTGTCAAAACCTATAACCTGTTCGATTTCTGAAAATTAGAACATTAACTGTAATAAGGAGACTGTAATAGGCTTTTCATCATAACTTTTCCACTCTTTATCTCCATGGATTACACATGGTTTTTTAACACTAGCTAGTACCTTTATCATAAGTTAATAATCCGGCAAAGTTGAGATTATTAATTTACTGTAGTGAATAACCCCAAGTATATGGATTTTCTGCTGCAAAGGATGCGTTTAAGCCGATTGAAGTTGAAAAAACTGGAATTAATTTGAATCGATCGAGACTCAATCTGCTTAGAAAATTTGATCAATTGAAATAAATTGGCAATGAGTAATTGTTATCGCGTAATCAAACTCGTGTCACTCAATTGTATGATCGACTGATACTCATTTCCGTCGATTTTGACTACTAGTATACATTAATCACAATTTTCAAGTTTTCCTTAATTTAAGTACACAAAGAAAGTTACACATTTGAATTAAATCTTACTTTACACTCTCAAGGAGAAAAACATTATACGCCACTTGAGTGCAAGCCTTTGCACCTTTGTGCGAACTCTAGGTGCAAAGTACTTTTCCTACCTCGGGCGTTTTTGAGAGGCTGGTTGCACTCGGTAGGAAAAATATCATTCGCCACATAAGCGCTATCGCTCCGTGGCTACCTTACGTCCCTCGGGCTCTGCTTCGCAGGTTCTTTGGGCCGCAAAATAGCCCCGGAGACGATGGCACTTATCCGATGAAAACTACCATTTCTGCTCATGGGCCCGAAGTAGTTTGCGGGTGCGAAGTAAGACTTTGCGCTCTAGTGGCGTAATGTACTATTTTCAGGAGAAATGTAGTGCTTCCATCCTTGAAATCCGGGAAACAACTTTGTTTTTTGGTAGGGGTGTAGTAAAAAATTTTTCCTTTAAATTTAGGTATTTGAGAGTAGCATGTCAAAAAATCTGGTCACTTTATCATCATGTCTGTCATTAGAATTAAGCGTTTTTTTGGATCTATTTTTTCACTCCAAGCTAGAAACACACACTTTTGCGCATTTGTCTTTGTCGAAAACTGCTTTTTATAGTTATAGAATTATTTTTGCTTCAAATATAGGTATTCAAGATTAGGATGTCCGAATTATAACCATTTATGTTAATAAACAAAGGCGTTAGAATTAAATAAAAAAATAACTACTGCTGCTAGGAGCCGTAGGACAACTTTTTTCCTGATTCAGAAAAAAATTTCACCGTTTTGATAAATATAAAATTAGTGTACTGTAGCAGCTTCGTTATAGTTGATTGTAAGTGCTACTCTTAATAAACGCTGTTGTCTTTATAGACACCGCTAGAACAATTCCCGAACAACCCATGAATTTTTAAATCATTTATGTCCTTATAAATAATTGTAATTGTAATAAATCAGTTGAATATACAACGTCTACCTTAGGGGAATGGTTGTAGTATACAAAAGCTTCGTTTGGGCCGTACTTCAACAGCTCATCCAAACAGAAGCACAACTTCTTTTCCGTTTACAATTACGTTGGAAAATATGAGCTGCGCTTTTTGGGTATAGTGCGTCAACTTATAGACTCTCCAGATCATTTGTTCATTGATTATAAACAAATTTAAAAAACTGGTATTCTGTCAGTAAGTTACATTTCGCAACGAATAAACACGTTTTTAAACACGACCATTTCATCGGTTACTCACTTTTTAAACTAAACCAATAAACTTATTACTAATTATCGTGGCTCATTTTGTAATTTTTCTGTAAAGTAATTTGTCTACAGTAAAATTATGTAATAATTTCAGTTGTCCTAAAGAATTTATTATTAATATAGACTAGAAAAGGCGTAAAGAAACATTTGTTATAAATTTTTATACATCCCTACGAGACAATAATATGTAAAATAATTTTGTAAAAAATGTCTATGTACAACATAAAGATACGAGTTGAGTAGTTTATAAGTCAGTCTTTTAAACCCCTTATTCACATTATAGATCAATATAAATTCCTTATTTTTTCTCAAAAGAAAACAATATGTAAAATACTTTTATAAATAATTTGTAAATACATCATATTAGTTTTACAAAGATGAGTCGAGTAATTTATAAGTAAGTCTTTTAAATCCCTTTTTATATTATAGATTAATAAAAATTTTGTATTTTTCTCACAAGAAAACAATATGTAAAATACTTTTGTAAATAATTTATAAATACATCATGTTAGTCTTATAAATATATGAGTTGAGTTATTTTATACGTAAGTCTCCTAAATTCCTTTTTTAGGCACGACTGATACTCAGGAGTGTCTTATATTTTTGCCAGAGCAAAAAGTGTAAGTACCTTTAAAACTAGTTGTTTTTGTGTTAAAAAAGTTTTGATACAAAAAAATTGCGATCGCAGACCTCAGCGTCAGGTGTGTATGTATGTATGTATGCAAGTTTTTTGATTAACTAATGCAGTTTCTGTCGGATTGGGCTGAAATTTGACGAATAGTTTCGTCTTTTATGTCTCATGTAATGGTTTAAAATCTGTAAGATTTCCTCTTTTAGAAAAAAATGGCAGTCTTTTTAAGATGGTACTTTCAGTCAAAAAAAAAAAAAAGTTTTTTGGCTATAACTTTATAACGTGATACTTTCGAGGTTTACTGTCAAAGACAAAGTTGTAGATATTCTTAAAATACAATTTTTTCGTATTCAAAATTTTCGTCTAGGATGTAACCCAAACGTTCTGTGAGCCTAAAAGTGCTCAAAAATCGCAAAAACGTAGTTTTTCCCTAACTTTTTTTTTTACTTTAAATTATTATATTAAACGTAAAAGTTGTAGATCTTATAGAAGTACAACTTTTTTGGTGTAAAAAATTTTTACCTAAGATGTAACGCACACGTTCTATGAGCCGAAAAGTGCTTGTAAAATGAATAAAAAGTCGTTTTCCCCTATCCAACTTTTTTGTTTTGCACTTGAGATAATAAATAAATCGTAATAGTTGAAGGTCTCGTCCAAATACAACTTTTTTTATTTAACATATTTAGTTATAATATTAAATTTGGGTTCCAAAAATGCCGAAAAATTGGGTAAAAAAACATCAGCATTTCGGATTTTTTGTAACAACTAGTTGGTCCTGTAAAAATAGTCAGTTACTAAAAGTGGGCGATATAAAAAGTCGTAAAAAAGTGCACAGTTAACAAATTGATTAACAGTAATTATATAATAAGCTATTACGTGCATATACAGTAACGGTTCTGATTTGTGTGAGATATACTTTTCGTTATTGAGAGTGTACTTGTATATCAGTTATTTGAGCACATTTTTATCAATTTTATTATAAATGTATTTATATTAAGCATGAAGATAGCTGTGGCAGTTATGTTTCTATCGTAATGTATAATAGGAGTGCCCGAAAAAAATGATTTTTCGATACGTTTCAAAATGCCAAAGTTGGGCGCTCGTCTTTCCATTACCAACTATGTGTGGAATAGCAAATGAAGATTGATCACATGTGCAAACGGCTGAATAGGGCCTTTGTACGCAAATGCGATAAAAGCGTAAAATGAGAACAAAACGGGAATAAGAGGAATAACAGCGGGAATATGCGGAATAACGGATTGATGTGTTAAGTTTTTGAAAGCATCAAGCTTGACTAACAACAAATCAACTTTATTGATAAGTAAAAATGGTAGTTTTCGTCGGATAAGTGCCATCGTCTCCGGGGCTATTTTGCGGCCCAAGGGACCTGCGAAGCAGAGCCCGAGGGACGTAAGGTAGCCAAGGAGCGATAGCGCTTATGTGGCGAATTCTATTTTTTCTACCGAGGGCAACCAGCCTCTTAAAAACGCCCGAGGTAGGAAAATTAATCAAAAACGCCAGCGCCAACATCAGGTTGTCCGGGGTGCTTATATGTACATTATACTCTATAAGCCACATTAATAATTCTAAAAGCATTAGTTAGTGATATAAGCGCCATTTACTCCATAACCAGGGACGTTTACTGGCTAATTTATTGATTAGTAAAAAAATTATTAGTAACATACGTGCCAATTACCAGTTAGCCTAAGGTGCTCACTGGCTACATTAATTATTATTAAAGAATTAATTAATAACTTAAGCGTCATTCATCTAATAATCCGGGGCATTTACTGGCCAATTTACATATTATGAGCTCTATTTACCAGGTAATGTATGCATTCGCTACGAACTTTATTATTTAATATTGTATTAAAATAGCGTAAGCGCCAATGACCAATAAACTTGGGATGTTTACATTATTAATTAATGGTTTAATAATTGTTAATCTGGTTAGTAAGCTCCTCGAGTTACCTGTTGTTGGCACCTATGTTTTTAATTGATTTTTCATGAATCAATAAAGTGGCCACTAACCACCCCAGGTTATGTGGTTGGAGGTGCTTCATTTAAATATTAAATAGTTTTATGGATAGAAGAAAGCAGAGTTACTTGGTTTAAGGCAATTTTGGTCTTAGACATAATTGGAATTGCGTCGGCTTTATTTGGTGCGGTATTTAATACATCATAAACACACGAATATACTTACCTACAATCATTTAAAGACAGGGTTTTCCCACGCGCGTAGATTACACTTCTCCTTCGCTCGTTCAGTTCTTGTATTGAGAGAAAAAATCTTATGTATAATACGGATGTTTTTGTACTTAGTTTTTTTTGGTTTTGGGTTCCTTAATTAATTTTTTTTACGGAAAATGACTAGATACACACGGACATACAAATAATTAACAAGGAAAACGACAGAGTTGAGGAAAAAAAAAGGGATGGTAGAACAGAAGCGGCATGGTATAACGGAAAAAATAATATAAAATCACGCATAGAACTTTTTTTACAAAAGATAGACTACATGGAATTTATTAAAACTTTTGCTCTGGTATCACTTAATACGAAATTCACTATAATAATAACAACAACTTCTAACTTTGGTCGGCCAATCATGATAAGATACGTCTATGATTTTAGATATATTCTACATTTATTTAAATATAATCGTATATGGGTCTATATTTCGCTGGCACAAAAAATATTAATACTAAACATTATACAACTAAGTACATTTAAATAAATTCTTTGAAAAGCGTATGTGTACGAAATCAGAAAGTAAAGAATTACATTGTTTTTAAATCCACATAAATTGAATGAACTTCTTTTGTGTGTGTGTGTGTGTGTTGATAACTACAATCATATGCGTTAATATAAAATCTTTTCTTTAATATTTAAAATTTACGCAACAACTGATAAAAACAAATGGTGCTTTTATTCCATTTGGAATCGTCAAATTTAATTATTGTTCATAATTAGCGAAATTTCATGGTAAAAACAACATGTAACGATAAAGTCAATCGCAATAAAGTTAAGTTACATTTATGAACTACATACACATATATATATGTACACTCAAACTTATAATATTTACACCTATTAAATAGTAACAGCTATATACGATATGATTTCTCAAAATAACTATCACCAATCGCAGGATTATCACCTATCATATGGCACTACGCATATATATCACACGGAGAAAATCAAGTACCTCGTACATCGATAAAACAAAAATGTTCAAAATAATCTCAAACGTAAATAGACCTCCTAGTCCCGCTGATGCGGTAATCGAAGCCGCGATGAGGGTAAGCCGGCTCGTAGGTGTACTTCTCGGTGATCCCCTCGGAGTCGTGGCAGACTTCCGTCGACGACAACGACGAAGACGACGAAGATACCGAGTTTGTCCGATAACGGCAGCAGCTGCGGTCGTCGGCAGTCATCCGGCCAGTGGGAATCAAGGCCGCCGGCGAGTAGGCCCTGACGTTAAGGCCACCCAAGATCCGCAGTGGGATCCTTCTGGCGCTCGACGGCGGGAGACGGAGGGTGCTCGTGGCCATCGGCTTCACCTTCCGGTCCGACCGGGGCTCCTCGCGGCATCGGTCGTAGTTCGGGCCAGCCAGTAACGGAGAGCTGGGCCTCTCGACCTCCTCGTCGAGCTCCACGATGGACACGGGTATCCACACAACCTCATCCGTCTCGGCTGTTCCCTCGGCCGTTGTTCTGGTTGAACCTGCAGTAGCCCGCGTGGGTGGGTCATCATCGCCCCGAGATGATTTCGCGGAGGTACGCTCGAGCTCGTCGATCATGCTCCGGACGAAACTGCTGTTGTCCTTCGCCCGGCCACGCCTCGACTGGACGATCTGCTGGAGGGTGCTCGATTTTTTCTGAGCGAGTAGAAACTTGGAGTCCAATGCGCTGCTGCTCTGCGGCTCCATTTTCTTGGGTGTCGTTGTCATAGTCGCTGGCTCTCCCTCCGTTTCATCGCTGAGATCGGCGGACATCGGGTAGATGCGTGGAGTGACACCTCCTAGCGTGACCTCCGCCAAAGAGAAGCTGGTGTAACTCGTCCTCTCCACCTCGATCGCCGTAGATCCACTGGACACCTGTCCCTGGCTCTCACTGCTGTTGGGGCTGCTGTTATTATCGCTAGATCGGCTGCAAGGAGACATCGGCCGTTCGAGATTTTTACTCGGTTTGGTGGGTTCTTCCACGGCAGCCGGAGAAAAATCGTCCTTCAGGTCTGGTATGTCCTTCGGAGGAAGGGGGATGTTGATGTTGGGCAACTTGCGCGAGGGGGAGACGCGGGGTAGGGTGAGGCCCTTCATCGGTGCGCGCGAGACCACTGGGGGCCCTTGGCTTGGCTCGTAGAGGCGCACTGGGGGGCTGTCACTGTTTTCCAACTCCCTTGTAGGCTTCGAGGAGCTTGCCGAGCAGTTGCAGCTAATTTCCGAGGAGTAGCCCCCGTCCAAGGAGTGCTTGTCGAGCAAATCGCTACAGCAACTCGCGGCCTCTGGAATTACCGATCGTTCGATCAGATAAGTGTGAGTCATCAATATTATATTTATTCACTTACCATGTAGCGACTCCTTCGAGACGAATGAGTGTTTCTTCGGCTGCTGGGTGCTCATTTTTCTCCACGGGTGATTGTCCTCGGATTTGGGCCTGAGGATCTTGAAGGGCCGTACGTTCTGCTTGTACCACTCGAGCACGGATAATTTTTCGAGGGCTCGTTGGGCGCGGCTTTCGTGCTCCATTACCGAGCGTCCCTGAACAAAGGTAAACAAAAATATTTATTTTGCCACATAAGATAGACACAGTCCGAGCTCTTCGGGGTTTCGGCGACTACTTACTGTAGAAATGCGCGAATCACATGACGCTTGTAATTTTCTTGTGGGATTCGTTTACGCTACGTAACTGTATTGGTGTGTTAGTATAGCGTTTCGTAATATTACATGTAACGTTGCTTTGTAGGTAGTACTTTGTGTTTTTAGAGGAACGAACAAATGATTTTACCACTGCTCTGCAGGCGTATTTTTGTCGCGTTCATATGTAAAACGAGCAAAATAAAATTTTCGC